GTGGTCACTGTTTGATGATATATTATGCTTCCGCCTGTTTATAATTTGTTGAACTGAAACTTGACTTGAATTATTTTCTCGCTTGGGTTTGGATATTTTATTATGTGTTTATATCCCTGCTTGATTTCGTATACTGATTATGTGTTGCGCATAAACTTGTTACTTAATTATTTGCTTTCATACTTTGGATTATTTATTTATTTGCCTTCGAACTATGTTTGAGTTTTCGTTGAACTTAGAATAATGCTAGACCTTTTGGAAATGGTTTGAGACTTATGTTCTTGGGATTTGTTTTATTGTTAGCTCGAGCATGTGTAGTTCCCTTGATTGAGTGTGTTTATTTGTTGTGGTTAATAAGTAGCGCCCGTTTCTCGATAAATGTTTTAACTTGGATTTCAAAAAAAAAAAAAAAAATATAACTCTGATTTTTATTAAATAAATTCGGTAAATTCTTTAAAATAAAACGGGGCGTTACACCTACATATAGTAATTGTTGGACAAATCTGAATAGACAAAAAAATCGGCTCATTAATTGTGTAAAGATTTGTTTCTTTTTTTTCTATTTTTTAGTTTATCAAACCGTTGTTTGACAATGAATATTTGTTTTTCTTTTTCCTATTTTTAGTATAACAAGCTTATCTCTTTTGTTACAAAATCTTAGATTTGAAAAAATAAAATAAAATAGAAACCAACTCATAATTACTGCTAGAAATCCATTATCTACTTTGAGAAGCTAATTTTCGTCGATCTAATTACTAATATTTTTACAAATATTATAAGTTAACCATACAAAAAAGTATATTAATAATTTTGAAATAGTGTGTAATCAAATTTTTTCATATTCTCTTATACAAAATAATTTTACATTGTTTGACCCCGAATCTTTAATTTATAATTATTAAGTATTGTTTATCCTCCTCTTTAATTAATAATTATTTTTTTTCTTCCTCTTTTTAAATAGGATCAATAGTAGTTTCTACTTCCGCCATTGAGTGACTCAAATTCAAGGTCTATTTATAATATTATTAATTTAATATTCTTCCCGTGCATCGCACGGGATACACACTAGTGAAAGATTAACAAAACTAAATCCGTAAAGTTGAATTAAACATGCAAACAAAATACCTAAATAAATCATTCCTAAAAATGAGGGGAAATCAATAAACAAGATAATCTTATTCAACTGCCTACTACACAAATACTACACAAATAATGCAGTTTGAAGTGTATTACCATTTCTTGAGCCTAAGATAAACCCGTCTATAATTCTGTACAGATCAAGACAATAAATTGAAAAATAATGCTAATTCAAAGATCACACAAATCCCAAGCAGAAATAAGTATGAATAAATTATTTAGAGCTCATTTGTTTTGTGAGATGAGATTAGACTAAATTAATAGGGGAAGAGCGGATTGTACTGTACAGATAAAACAAGACCCACATTTGTTTCGTATGATTGTTAGTTGCGATAAGATAGTGTTTCACTCCTCACAATGTTTGTTTCACTAGATAACTTATCGGATATAATTGTACATTGTCAATTTTGTCCCCAATGCCCAAAATATTTACCATCTGCTTGTTCATTATAGCAAATATAATTTATTCCTTATTTTTTTTCATTCCATTCAAACTTATATTTTCCTATATTTTTTCCTTTCACACATTTCTTTCCACTCCATCTTAGGGCACAACAACAACAATATATATTTTTTTCTTTAGTTCCTTTTCTTGTTATCCGTTTCTTTCCATTCCATAATTTTTTTTGGCAATCCTTTTTCTTTTCACAGCAAAACGACCCTTTTCCTTCATTGCAGATTTTTCTTTTTTCCTTTCCTTTTCTCATCTTTCCCTTTTTATTTTCTTTATTGTAAAAATTGTCTTCATACAGGCTCCTTAATCTGCAAACAAATAAATAAAAAAATAGTTTCTTTAATTTCATGGAGATGGAAATTAACAGCATGCTTTTGCTGTCAACAACGGCATTTTCGTGGCGGAGATGGTGGGTCGGGATTTGGATTATTTGTGGGGATTGTTTTTTGCTCACACTGGAAAAGCAATAGATCCGTATGTGAGAGCTAGTTTTCCCCAAATATGAAGATGCTCATAATATGTTGCTTGCATATGCAATTTTTTTGGACATGGAAAATATTTAATTCTCTAATATATACGGTGGTGAATTTCTTCCTTGTTCTACGTTTTTAAAAAGATCAAAAATTGTAGTATGGATTTTAGGAGAATAGTTTGTGTTGAAATTTCCGTTCAAGTTAAGGTTAATTGGTAAAAAAATAGGATATTTGAGGAGAAAATGGACATTTCCAGCTTTTTGTACTGTTGAGATGAAAAATATCATGCCAAAACATCAAGATCCAATAATCATGGATATCCAAGATAAAATGACTTTTAATCTCGGGCTGAATCTTGTCATGCGGGCTGTAGCGGGCTTCAATCTAGGTTAACAAACATAAGATTACTCAAGATTAAAGAGCTAATCTTGTCTTATCTTGGCAAACAAATGAGCTCTTAATGAATAAGGAAAGAATTGACCTGTTCAGGTTTGAGGATATTATACTTCCGAGAACGATCATACACACAAAAAATTCAAGAATACGCAATGCTGGATCAAGTAGTTCATTGATCTCCTGTCATACACTTTTGTTGCTGCAACATCAATATCTATAATTAAATTATGCATTTAAAAATTAAAACCAAATTCCAGGCGCTTGCTCAATGAAGACATATAACCACTTAAAGGAATGAACATTTGCTCTAATAATTTATTGTTTTCCTATTACAATTTTCTAGCCCCTGTCTAATCATAATATAACCAGTTAGAATTTCGAACACATCATGAATTTTCATTCAAAACTCGCAACTTATACGTAGTGACAAACACAAAATTATAACGACTACTTTTTACTGTGACAACATCCACCGTGCGTCAAGAAAAAAAAAATTATTGCTTGTGGCGAGAACATCCCAGTGAAAACATTTTACTATAATTTCAAAAGGAAAAACGCTAGAAATAAACATAAATGTAGGAAAAAATGGAGTAGAATTTTAAAAGTGAATAAATTGAGCATATCGCTCACGAAGACCACCCAAGCAAATTAAACCATCACTATCCGAGCACGGGTCACATAAAAGCGACTTCCACGTCTCCATGTCGACCTCTGTGTGGGCAGCTACAGCCGGGAAGGTGATGGCATAGGTGGCCAGGTGGCCGAGGACCCACACAGACGTGCGCTGCTTGACCCATGTGAGTCGACCGCGAAAAAGCTTGATTAGAGGGGGAACAACGCCAGCCTGGACACCAGCCTCGGAAAACGTCTCGAAGTTCATTGTGTAGGAGCCGATTATGTGAGCAGCATAGTAAGTGATGTAGGTGTTTTGGTCACGGGCTAGCCAGCGGTGGTTTCGGAGGCCCCTGCAAATGAGGGCCGACTTGCAGTCGGAGATTCCTGAGGTCAGTGAACTCGGGGTCGTTCAGGTGGGCCATAGCGGTATTCCAGAGGCTGTTGATGGGGAGGACCTGGCCATTGTCATCTTGAGACGGGACATCACGGAAGAATTTGAGGAGAGCGGCGTTTGGTAGGGTACAACTCCATCATCACTAAACCACAAGAAAATAATGAACAAATTACCTGAAAAAAATGTCTTTTCCGTCAAGCTCATCACCGTTAGCCCCAAACATATCAGAAATCCAGTCAAATGCCTCAAAAATAACCAAATTCCCACAAAAAAATATATATAATAATAATACAATCTATTACTATATAATAGAGAGAAGAAAAAATGTTTGAAAAATTATTTCATTTTACCGCTCAAATCATTTTTTTCCCTCTAATATTTTGTTTGAAATTTTTTCGAAAGTTTGAATTTTTTTTTTTTCATTCTGAAATTCTGTAATTTGAATGAGTTCAATATGTTTTGGATGAGATTCCTTCCATATCGGATAAATTCAAGATCCTTTTCATTTGGGAAAACAAATTTTTATTTTAGCGATATATTTGACTTCCTTTTTTTTATTTGGAGATAATCTATCCGTTAAAATAGGAAATGAATTTGTAATTTATTTTGTCAAATTAAGTTTTTGAGTTAATCCTTCTATAACATGTTTGTGCGGACGGAATGCGGTAGATACAACCTCAAATGAATTAAATCATACCGTACCTAAGTTCACTTTAATGTATAAATCATTAGAATAATAAAAAATAAAAATTTTATAGATAACAATTAAATATTTATCATAGGTTTTATTTTAAAAATAAATTTGAATTATTATACCTTTTACTTTATATGAAATTCAAAATTACATATTTTAATATATTAATAAAAATTTATTATTTATTTTTTCCTTATGTGATATAATCGAAATTCGGTATTAAATTTTTAAATTCAAACATTTAAAGAAAAAGATCCTGAACAAAATTTTTTGGGTAAATTTCATTTTATCTTGATTTTCATATAATCGCATTCCTAACAAACTAATTAATATTATATTTTCTTATCTACATTATCTAACCGATTTTTTTATGATACAATTAATATAATATCTTAACTAATTAATCATTTATCTAACTGAATTTATCTCTCTAACAAACTTGCCAATTTTTTTGAAATTAAAATGGTATGATTATTCTTATGGAGATAATTGACTTTTATAAAATATAAAATCAAAACCGTAAGGTTTAATAATATTACTTAAAAAAAATATTGTATAAATAGAAGTGATTAATAATATATATTTTTCATTGTTTGTATTTATTTTATTTTCATAATAGATGAGATGTGAAAAATATAAGTAATTATATATAAAATAAAGCCTAAAAAAGGTTTAAAATATGAGCTCCTACGTGCATCGCACGGGATACACACTAGTTATAACTGAATGTCCAACCCAAAAAATAAATGAAAGACATAAGAGGTTTTTACCTTTGAAGACGAACACCATATTATCAATAGCATATAAAATTAACCACACAATTTAATAAGCCACGACTTAAATCGGAACCTAAATTGAAGGAAATACGAAAATAAAAACAAAAATAAATGAATTTTTTTCATACAAATCGCAGGCACGCGAAAAGAGAGACTAAAGGAACGGAAAAGATTTAGAGAACTTGAAAACGCTAAAAAATTAACACATTGAAACATATCTAAACATCAACAAACCCAATAAGATCGGTGCCAAAAGATTAAGAAGAGAAGAAAAAAAAAAGAGAGAAATTTTGAGATTTTTCTCTCAAGGAGAACCGGCGGAAAATCTATCATTATATAAAAAGAATAACCTTTTTACAAATTTAGAAACTTTTTTCCGCCAAAATCATTAAATAGATCCTATATATAGTAATTGTTGGACAAATCTAAATAGGCAAAAAAATCCGTTCATTAATTGTGTAAAGATTTGTTTCTCTTTTCCCTGTTTCTTAGTTTATCGTTTTAACAATAAATATTTTTTTTCTTTTTCCTATTTTTAGTATAAATTTACACGAGCTTATCTCTTCTGTTACAAAATCCCATTGCATACGATTTTAGGTGTTTAAAAAATCTCATCTCCTATCTATACAGATTTGAAAAAATAAAATAAAATATAAATCAATTCATAATTATTACTAGAAATCCATTATCTTTAAAAAGAAAAAATAAAATAAAATAAAAACCAATTCATAATTACTACTAGAAATCCATTATCTACTTTAAGAAACTAATTTTCATCGGTCTAATTAGTAATGTTTTTACAAATATTCTAAGCTAACCATACAAAAAAGTATAATGATAATTTTGAAATGGTGTGTAATTAAATTTTTTTATATTCTCTTATACAAAATCATTTTACACTGTTTGATCCCGAATCTTTAATTTATAATTATTAAGTATTGTTTATCCTCCTCTTTTATTTATAATTATTTTTTTTCTTCCTCTTTTTAAATACGATCAATAATAGTTTTCACTTCCGCCATTGACTCAAACTCGAGGTCTATTTATAATATTGTTATTTTAATATTGTTCCCGTGCATCGCACGGGGTACACACTGATTTAGAGGAAAAACAGAGAGTAAAAAAAATCGCCAAGATGACGAATGATTGATAGAATACAAACCAACATTATTCCCTTAATCTGAACAGCCTCGTTTCGGCCTGGATACGGCGTCGTTTTTAAAAAAGGAGACGTGGCCTTACCAAATTTAAGGGACACGTGTCAAATAGAAAGGTAGTACCTTTCTTTTTATAGATATAAGAGACTAGCATACTCTCGCCGTGCACAGCACGGCCGGCTCACGGCTGAATTTTTTTTTTCAATCTAGAAATACTGTATTATAATTGGAGAAAAAAAAGTAACATAGGTGTAGACTCATAAATACATCAAATTCTTAAATCAACATAATCGAAAAAGGGTTATAAATAACAAAGATTTTAATTTTATGTATGATACTGATTTTTGTATATCTCTAGCAAGATTAACTTTTTTTCTTGAATAGATAAAAAGCAAATAAGAACATAATTCATAGTAGATTCCTAAATTTATGGATTTCATTCCAACCTATCATTGAAAATATGAGCATATAAGATATGCTCGAAACATAATAAATATCATGTTTATGAATGATACAAAGCATCTCAAAGTATAACCATATCAGTATTCACTCATAAACCAGCAAAGAGAAACTAAATGAAACAAGTCCTGAGCAACAATCGAAGCACAATAATTAAGATCATCACTTTCAATGGCATGGTGCAAAGACCGAAGCACGTCTCCCGATAGCTTTGACTGCCAGAGGGTGGGAAGAAATGGGGTGACTAAATTCACTTAGTGTGGCTAAATCAAATCAATAAACATAGAAAATAATGCATGGTGGAATCAGTTGACTAAACAAAGCAAAAAATAATAATAAAAAATAAAAAAATCCCTGCAAGAAAATACCAAAAGATCTGAATGTAATCATGCCATAGAAGGATCCAGTCACTCTTTGAATTTTGTCAATATATATATCACAGCAAAAGTCTAGTGGAGTAATAACGTAAATCACAAATTTGGAAGAACCCAAGCAGAAAGTAGGCAAACACATATATATGGCAGACATCAGACATGGAATGGTAAATTAAAAAAAAAAAAATTAAACAACAAACTCCCTTGTTTTTTGGTTCGGCTCACGTTACCGACGTGGGAGCCCACTGGCTTGTTCCACCACCTTCAAAAGAAGACATAAAATCCGAGAAATAAAAACCCTAGCAAACTGAATGGTAGTTTCAACCACAAATAGTGATCCACTGAAACCGAAAACACAGATTATAACTTAACGGGGAAAACAAGGCAACTTAAGTTTTTCAAATGAAAATTGAGCAACAATAAACCCCTCCATCTTTATTGCAGCAACTCAAGACGTAAACAGAAGAATTCCTTACAAACATAGAAACCCTAGCCACAACACAGAGACTGAAAGAAAAAGATCATACACATTTTGTATTTTAAAATAAATATATATATAACGCCTAAAAAAATCGAAAACAACTTTCGTACCTATTTCCCAGAAGAAGAAACCGCGTAGAGAACGACCGCATTTTTCTTTAAAACATAAAGTGGAAAAAGAGCAGACATGAAAGAAATGAAATTGGGAGAGAAAGAGGCCACTTATATTTCAATACGGAAAACCTTACGGCACTCAAAGCACACTACCAAACGAAAGAAAGAAAGAAAGAAAGAAAAACAGAAAATACCTCAAGCAGCCTTCGCATGCTCCATCTGACCACATTGCGAACAATACCTCCGTCGGGTTGGCCCGCGCATTCAAAATTTTCAAATATTTGATCAAACTGCAAATATCCCCACAACAACACAAACATAATTGTGAAGATATTGTAAGAACAAGACACTTGGTATATGTAGGACATCAATATAATTATGAGAGGGAAAATCAATATTAGGTGAATGAAGGCACCTACAAGAAAGGAAGAGTAATTGCAGACTGGAAGAGAATTAGGACATCAGGTGCCGGACGTATACTGCAAGCACCATCTTCCTTACAACACACCCAGGTCAATCGGCTTCCCTGCATCCAAACACTCACAGCTCACCTGCCAAAAGAAAATACACCACAATAAATTCTATGAAAATAAGCATTGACAAACATGAACCAGCTCAACAATCATACCTAAGAGGCCCTAATTGAAGAAATGAAGTATTACACGCACACACACACACACCAAGGCTATCTTGATTGAAGAACGTTGGTATGGAGTAGCAATTGGGCCCCGTTGAGGTTTGGTAACAACTTTGAGCAGCTCGAATTTTTTATTCTCCATCTCAATTTCTGACGCCTGAACAGAAATACCTAACCTAATCAGACATTTTAAAGCAAAGAACACTAAATTAGGGTTTGATTTCCACATTACCAACTTACTTCCATGACACAAGCTAATACCAACACCATTACATCCAAACTTATTCAAATTATAGGTAAGACGAAAAAGAAAATCAACTGAAAACACCAAAAGAAAGACAAAAATTAATCGATTTGTATGGAAATCGAACGCATGCAAAATTGCAAATAGAAAGACGAAAAAACCTGTTAGTGCTCGCGTGCAGATCTGCGTGCAATGAGGAGGAAAATGTTTAACACTTCAAACTAAACGACCCCGTCCAAAGTTTAATAAAAACACATGAGCGGGGCGATGAACAAATAAAGCAACACCTAATTCAAAAATGAAAGCAGTATACATTAGAAAAATAAAGCAACAGCCAAGAATTTGGATACTCACCAGCAATGCTGGGTGCTCTTCAAAATCGGCCAGTTTCCACAATTTCTCAGTCAAATGCTCCTGAAGCTAAATTAAGCATTTGAAAAGAAGAAAAAAAAAACCAAAATTATGAAAAAAAAATATATATGTATGACACAAATTTCATCATAGCCCATGTAAAAATTAAAAATTAAATAAATAAATAATGAAACCACAGTTCACTGCAATCATCTAATGCTCAGACGTGGGCAAAACAAACATACCTAAAATCGGGCACCCTAAAACTGAGAGAGACCCCTTTGGACTCGTTTCGCGTAGGTCGAACCGCAGGCTTTCTAGACGGGAGCATGGTGACTCGACCGCGCCGCAGGGGAATCCATCCCAGCTCAAGTAGAGTTTCGACGATAATAAAGAATAATACGAAAGTTTTACCGATAATAAACTATGTGGCAGGATGAGCAGTCGTCGGGGGAGGCGAACACGGCCTCGCTGCGGTGAACATCGTTTACTGGTGGGTACCGGATGAACTGAAGGGGGAGGACGCATCGGAGTCGGTATCGAAGGATAGAGGCTGTAAGCAAGACATGGAGAGAGGAAGAGAGTTCAGTGGCGCAAGAGAGCAAGAATGGGAGAAGATATTATTTAAAGCCTCAGACAAACGGTAGGGATTTAATCCCTAAAATCAACCGTTCAGAAACAATATTTTCAAACGTCGTCGTTTTAAATGTCAGCGGCGTGGCCTCACAATTGAATAGCCACGTGTCAGAAGGAAAAGGCTCAAGCTATCTTTTTATAAATAAGAGTTAAAGAAATAGATACTCGATGTTTTTTCCAATATTTTTTAGTATTATATATATTTTTTTCCGTCTAAAATTGAAATGGGAAGAGAAAATTTATATTTGACTGAAATTGGAGGGGGTCCAATGCTGACTTTGCTAACTTTTATATTGCTGACAATGAAATACGCCAATAATTTATTGACTTGAATGAGTATTTGTGTTCACGATAGCTTCATGACACATACATGTAAATTTTACGGTATTTGTTTGGAAGGGAATGACTGAAATCGTGTGGAGTCCAATTCTAACTTTGCTGACTTTTATTTTGCTGATAAATGATAATACAATACGCTAATAATTTATTGACTTGACTGAATATTTGCGTTCACGATGATTCAGCACAAAGCTCAAGAGAATTCAATTGAGATACAAAAATCTTAAAAAATTAGCAACTTATTTACCATTAAATTTATTTTTATGAAAAAAATGTAAGACCACGTACAAACCGAAACAAAAGTAACAAACAAGCTAGCAAAATACAAGACCATGTACTACACATCCGTATGACCTAGTAGCCTGACACGTGTCAAATGAGCCGAAGATTCCAAGTGGGCCCGCGCAAGCTCGAACTTTTCGTGCTGCTTGCTACCCACCGGACATTAGATTTAAAAGGCCCCGATTCCCGTAGAAAGAGCCGACATCCCAATCCTCAGTCGAGGATGATAGAGTCATCAATGCCACCACAATCGATCTCATGCTCGGCCGCAATTGAGGATCCTCGTGAGTACAAGCCCTCGCCAGTTGTGCCACCTATAATAATAATAATCATAACACGATAATAATAACATGTAGCCAATCTACCAAAGTCGCCGTTGAAGATCAACCGTGTTTGAAATTTAGAAATTACGAGGTATTGTTTGTTGCAACGGTTGAATGATGTTACTTTCGAGTTTTCAAGGTTCATAGAGTACCTCAACGGTAGTTTGGGACGTGAATACAAATATATCTGCTTGAAATGAGTTTTTTTTATTAATCATAATTAATTTTGAAAAAATTGATATGGTAGTTGTTAATGGAATTTTGAGTTTATATTAAAATAATATTTAAAACAAAATAATTAAAGTTGATTTGATAAAAAAAAGTAGCAGAAGAATATTGTGAAATGATGGTTAATTAAAATTATGTGAGTGGATGAATAGTGAATTAAAGTTGATGTGATATGTAAAAATGATTAATTGATATTATTTAATTATATGATAATAATGAAGTTGAGTTAAACTTGAGTTATTTATATATTATTAAACATCTTCTAGTATCAATATTCTTTATTTGATTTTTTGCTCTATCGCCACAACTTAAAATTTTCAAACTTTTACCGATTCATGATGCGTGAAATATCTACATACGGTTAACTGAACACCAGTTTCTCCATGAACATGCCAAAATGCGATAAATATTGACTCTGATAAGTCTACTTCCAGATCTGGAATGAACCGAATAAGATGAGCTTCAATCTGTTCGAACCGCCTCTAGACCGCCGCGAACACCTGCAAGAGCTCGCCATATCCATCATTCTACCTAATCTTCCCGAACGAACGAGGTAAAAATCAACTCTCTCTCCTCGCCGCCGTGGCAGCTGGAAATTTCCGTTGAGTATTTTTCTTTTCCATTTCATCCTCTTTAGTTTTATCAGGACCTCCACTTCTTTCTTCTGACATTGTCCTTTATTTATCAATTTCTTTCTTTTTTTGAGATAAAAAATCTGTTTTCAGATCTTCTTTCATTTTGTTTTCAGGAAAGGAAACATGGTCTTTCTCCTAAGGAGGACCGTAGGCCACGGAGGAAACTACTACTTCAAAATTGCTTCAAGACCATCTCCCGCAATACCTTTTCCTGTGCTCCACCCTCTAGGTATTTATCCATCTAGTATATTTTATTATATTTTAAAAAAAATATTTATTATTATTATTATTATTTTATTCATTTATTTTTGTACTAGCGTTCGAGATCGGCTGGCAAAGAAGATAAGAACAACTTTCGTCAAGGCTCCTTTGGCAATGAAAAAACAGTGACGTGTGGTATTAGTGTCCCTATTTTATGGGAAACTCTGAAAAATCAGATAGACTACTCCCATAAAACCTCCTCTATCTGATTTTTCAGAGTTTTCCATAAAATAGGGACACTAATGCCACCTGTCGTTGCTTTTATCGCCAATAAGCTAATAGCGAAAGTTATTCTTATTTTCGTTGCCAACAGATCTCGAACGCTAGTACAAAAAAAAAAAATAAATAAATAGAATAATAATAAATATTTCTTTGTTAAAATATAATAAAATATACTAGATGAATAAATACCTAGAGGGTGGAACACAGGAAAGGATATTGCGAGAGATGGTCTTGAAGCATTTTTGAAGTAGTAGTTTCCTCCGTGGGCTAACGGTCCTCCTTAGGAGAAAGGCCATGTTTCCTTTCCTGAAAACAAAATGAAAGAAGAAGATAAACAAAGAAGATCTGAAGACAGATCTCAGATTTCAGATCTCCAAAAAAACAAAGAAATTGACAAACAAATGACAATTTCGGAAGAAAGAAGTGGAGGTGTTCATAAAACTAAAGAGGATGAAATGGAAAAGAAAAATACTCGACGGAAATTTCCAACTGCCACAACGGCGGCAGAGAGAGAGAGAGAGAGAGTTTATTTTTACCTCGTTCGTTCAGGAAGATTAGGTAGAATGATGGATATTGCGAAAGAATTGATAGGTCTCCAAGGTTTAAAAGACTATTTAAAATGGGCCAACTTATTAAAAGATTTTAAGGCCTAGATGGACAACAACACGAGCCACATATATATATTTTCGGGTCCATACGCAAACAAATATAATAAACCCAAATTGAATATCTAGCGGCTAGAACCCTAAACCCTAACCCCTAAACTCCTAAAACCCTGAGAACCCTAAACCCTAAACCCTACATGTAGCATGCTTGATCAAAATCAAGTTGTAGTCCGAAGGCTAAAGTTGTTGATATTGAGAACGTACCTATACAAATTTTAATGGTTGCTGAAAACTTCTTAACATGATTACGTATCTTGAAGATCGTTTAGTTTTTTCATTTTATGTACTCGTTCGTCTAATATGAGATTAGTTTCTTGTAAATGAGCTTAGTTTTTCTTTCTTGGAAAAACTCATTGGCTGTCAAAATGAGCTTAGTTTCTTGTGAATGCTCATTTAAACAGCATGGTTCGTCTGCTTAATATGAGATTGTGAGGTTGGTTCTTTTTCTTTAAAAATAAAATTAAAATCTAAAATTTATCTTTTCTTGTATAATTTTACTTAATTTAATTTATCTTATTTTTTAATTTATTTTTATTCTAATCAACATAATTTTTATCATTTAAACAAATTTATCTTAGTTAATTTTAATGTCATATACCAAATTATTATAATTTCATTAGTTTATTGTTTAATTTATTTTTCCGTATTTTATTATAATTATTTTTTAATACTAATTTAATGTATCTTATTTGTTAATTAAAATAAATTTACCTAATTTGTTTTATTTATTAATTGAATATATTCAACTTATTTTGTTTAACTATTTATATTTAATTGTTCTATTTACAAATATTTTATTCCTTATTATTTATTATATAATTTAATTATAATTTATCCTTAATTGTTATTTAAAATTTGTTTATTTTATTTTGATTAGATTTAACAAATTTGTTTTACTACATATTTACTTGATTCATAATATTTTATTTTTTTATTTTAATTTTTATTCATCTTATTTTTTTATTATTTCAACTTGATTTTATCGTACTCATTTATCTATTCTTTTTATTTTATTTAAATCTTGTTAAAGTTATTTTATTTTATTTCATTATATTATTTTGTACTTATTATTTTATTTATTTACATAATTGTTTTTCCTTTATATATGTAATTGATTTAATTTGTTTATTTTACTATATTTTATTTTGTATTATATGATACATATTGTTGCATTCAACATTATAAATAAGTGCTTGCAAAGCTTGTGGTTAAATACTACCATTTTTATTTTTGCAAATACAAACTCAACAAAGGAATATTAAAACAAACAAATAAAAATTAATAAATATAAGGACAGCCAAAATAAACTCATGCATACACTAACAAAGGTAACAATCACGCAAAAGGGATGATTACCGTGGAAACAATTAATAAAGTTAATCTTCTCAAATTCAATGAAAGTTTCTACCTGATTAGGTAGCTTCATCAATTAGATTTTCATCTCTCGAATGAGAATTAGGTTCTGCCTGAATCATAATTCCCACCACCTACAACGTACAAAGCAACAACAGCTATCAACCTCTTTATAACAAAGTTAAATATACAATTAAGCGAATATGAGATGAGGCCTCCGGATCTGCTATGGTGAAGGAAGAGTTGTCAAATAAAAAAATAAAAAAAAAGGAAGAGTTGTCAAAAGTTCTAATACAAATGGTTCGTTTCCCCAAACCTGCTTAAGTAGGATGGGGACATAGGAATACTTTTAAGGGCATTGTCACCTCATATCATTACCATAGAAATATCAGCACAATACTGCAATTTCTGAACGATTTATCACAGCCATATCCTACAAGTAACATAGAATTAGTAAAGTTTTACTCCACAAGCAAGAAAAATAAAATATTAGGCATACTACAAGTACCCCAAGGCTGAATAAGATAATTATTGAAAATAGTTCAGAAAAAAAAAAAAAGTACCGGTGAAACCTACCTGAACTCCTCGATGAGTTTCACGCATAAACTCAAACAACTTGTTCACAACAGTTTTCAAGAACTTCTAGTGAGCCCTCAGAAATCTTGGGGTACCGCCCAACCACATACGTATACATCCAACAAATAGAAATGGGGTAAGTTTAAATCAAGAGGATCAATGACACCTTTCCTATCACCTCCAAATTAGGCAGCAACCCATAAACAGAAAGTAAAAAATTTGGTAGTGTCATTCACCATACAGCAACATAAGTAACCCAAATATTAAGAATCACAACTCACATTATATTACTGGCAGTGACAGCTTTGTTGTCTTTTCCTTTGGTAATTTCACAAAGCAGTATACATTAGAAAAATAAAGCAACAGCCAAGAATTTGGATACTCACCAGCAATGATGGGTGCTCTTCAAAATCGGCCAGCTTCCACAATTTCTCAGTCAAATGCTCCTGAAGCTAAATTAAGCATTTGAAAAGAAGAAAAAAAAAAACCAAAATTATGAAAAAAAAAAATATGTATGACACAAATTTCGTCATAGCCCATGTAAAAATTAAAAATTAAAAAAATAAATAATGAAACCACAGTTCACTGCAATCATCTAATGCTCAGACGTGGGCAAACAAACATACCTAAAATCGGGCACCCTAAAACTGAGAGAGACCCCTTTGGACTCGTTTCGCGTAGGTCGAACCGCAGGCTTTCTAGACGGGAGCATGGTGACTCAACCGCGCCGCAGGGGAATCCATCCCAGCTCAAGTAGAGTTTCGACGATAATAAAGAATAATACGAAAGTTTTACCGATAATAAACTATGTGGCAGGATGAGCAGTCGTCGGGGGAGGCGAACACGGCCTCGCTGCCGGTGAACATCGTTTACTGGTGGGTACCGGATGAACTGAAGGGGGAGGACGCATCGGAGTCGGTATGGAAGGATAGAGGCTGTAAGCAAGACATGGAGAGAGGAAGAGAGTTCAGTGGCGCAAGAGAGGAGAAGATATTATTTAAAGCCTCAGACAAACGGTAGGGATTTAATCCCTAAAATCAACCGTTCAGAAACAATATTTTCAAACGTCGTCGTTTTAAATGTCAGCGGCGTGGCCTCACAATTGAATAGCCACGTGTCAGAAGGAAAAGGCTCAAGCTATCTTTTTATAAATAAGAGTTAAAGAAATAGATACTCGATGTTTTTTCCAATATTTTTTAGTATTATATATATTTTTTTTCCGTCTAAAATTGAAATGGGAAGAGAAAATTTATATTTGACTGAAATTGGAGGGGGTCCAATGCTGACTTTGCTAACTTTTATATTGCTGACAATGAAATACGCCAATAATTTATTGACTTGAATGAGTATTTGTGTTCACGATAGCTTCATGGCACATACATGTAAATTTTACGGTATTCAATTGAGATTTAAAAACTGTTTGGAATGGAATGACTGAAATCGTGTGGTCCAAAACCGACTTTGCTGACTTTTATTTTGCTGATAAAGCAATACGCCAGTAATTTATTGACTTGATAGTTGATTGAGTATTTGCGTTCACCGTGACTCAGCTCAAAGCTCAAAGGAATTCAATTGAGATACAAAAATCTTAAAAAATCAGCAACTTATTTATCATTAAATTTATTTTTATGGAAAAAAAGGAAAGACCACGTACAAACCGAAACAAAAGTAAGTAACAAACAAGCTAGCAAAATAAACTCGTACCATAAATATACTACTACATTACATACATACACACTGAATTGTACTGTACTTCGTACACACTACACATCCGTATATCACCTAGTAGCCTGACACGTGTCAAAGGAGCCGAAGATTCCGAGTGGGCCCGCACAAGCTCGAACTTTTCGAGCTGCTTGCTACCTACCGGACATTAGATTTAAAAGGCCCCGATTCCCGTAGAAAGAGCCGACATCCCAATCCTCAGTCGAGGATGATAGAGTCATCAATGCCACCACAATTGATCTCATGCTCGGCCGCAGTTGAGGATCCTCGTGAGTACAAGCCCTCGCCAGTTGTGCCACCTATAATAATAATAATAATAAGTGCGATAATAATAACATGTAGACAATCTACAAAAGTCGCCGTTGAAGTTCAACCGTGTTTGAAATTCATAAATTACGAGGTACTGTTTGTTGCAGCGGTTGAATGAGGTTACTTTTGAGTTTTGAAGGTTCATAGAGTACCCCAACGGGAGTTTAGGACGTGAATACAAATATATCTGCTCGAAATGAGTTTTTTTGGTTAATCATGATTAATTTTGAAAAAAATTGTATTGTAAGTTGTTAGTGAGATTTTGAGTTTATATTAAAATAATATTTAAAACAAAATAATTAAAGTTGATTTGATAAAAAAGTAGGAGAAGGAGGTGTGAAATGATGGTTAGTTAAAATTATGTGAGTGGATGAATAGTGAATTAAAGTTGATGTGGTGTGTAAGAATGATTTATTCATATTATTTAATTATATTGAGGATAATGAGGTTGAGTTAAAATTGAGTTAGATTTTGAGGATGGATTGAGCATGATAATTTATGTTTACCCAAGAAGATATGAATCGAGATGGGTAAAAAAAAAACTGACCTTTTGGACAGAGTCAAGGGGGTAATTATCTCCAAGGCGAGGGTCAACCAGCTTGATCAGTTCTTCGATCTCGTCGGGATTTCTAAAAGCGTCTTCGAACTAAAAATAAATAAATAAAAAAAAAAAGAAAGAAAGAATATTAACAACAATTTGTCAAGAACCTAGCAAATGAAGAAAAGGTGATCTATAAGTGAGGTGCTTACTAAAGCAACAAGGCCCCTCGAGTCAACACCAGAACTGTTGTCCTTGACTATGGCTTCCTTAGCTGAGATCAACTCGTAAAGGACAACCCCGAAAGCAAACACATCGACTTTAGGAGAAACATCACCGTACTGTGCATACCTGCAAAAAGAATTGTGAAAAGAAATTTACGTTGAGTCAACCAATGGAGATCAAAACATTTCGGTAGAGAAGTATCTTGGTTAATACATGTCTTGTCTTGTGAAATTTATGGACAATCTATCATACACAAAAACAAGCATCAAGATAGCTTTCCATTCAACAAAATGTAATGCTACTATCGAATTCAACTCGATTGGTAAAAATTATGTATACATATAGACAGATATATATTAAGTAATATATATATACAAGTCAAGTTCAAGATGCATTCTACACTAATAGATCTTCTCAAGCTTGATCCAGTTAACAACAAAACCAAATTATAAAGTAAATTTAAAATTACTAAAATTGATCATATCCCATGTTGGTGCTTTCCTTGGGGGTAAAATCTGATGTGACTCGTGGACCTTGTTTACATACACCCTTATGCGTTTTACTACTGAATATGGGTATAAATACTAAAGTCTTTATACAAGAATTGTCCTAATGAATCTACAATTGGTTTTATAAATATAAGTAATCACTTACTCAGGAGGCATGTAACCAAATGTACCCACAAGTCGGCCAGTTGGCAGCGAACTATTTCCAACTTCAGTTAGTTTCGTCAAACCAAAGTCCGCTACCTGCAGAATAAGTTACAAACTGAAATTAGAAATTAAATTTTAGATTTCAACTGCAAGTTCTACTACGCTCCGATACAACCTTCCCGTGGAAATTCTTGTCTATCAAAATATTTGCTGACTTGATATCACGATGGATGTAAACTGGGACAGTGTGTTCGTGAATATATTCAAGGCCGCGCGCTGAGTCTAGAGCAATTTGTACCCTGGTTGACCATGGCAGTGGTTCCCTTCCTAAAAAAATAAATAAATAAATAAATTACGCAGTTTTTCTTTTCATATTGTTTTATTTTGTGCAACTTATGCATTTGAACTGAGCACACCTGAACCTCTGAGATGTTGACTTAAATTTCCATTCTCGATGTATTCATACACAAGAAAAAGTGAGCTCTGGACACAATATCCAATCAAGCGCACCTAAAATAAGAAAGCACGAGAACATGGAAAGCCCAACAAGATTAATCATAAGTGGAGTATGATAGACCTACTTTATAACCTCAAGTTAAATAAAAGAAAAATAGTTGTTGCTTGAGAAGTCATTAGTCTTTCCAACAATGCGCAATGAATGCATAAATGACATGAAAAATATGTTCATACCAAGTATTTATCCCTATTTCTATGTAGGCTCAAATGTTGATTGCTAAGAATTTTCCTCTTACTGAAAATTTTCCCCATGTTTAAACAGATTCAACAATAAAAAATTCTTTCTCTGCTATATTTTATGATCGGGGAAGGTCAGTGAATTCACTCTAAAGGGCAATTACAATGAAGAGGTACGATGCAATACCAGGTTGAGGTGATGAACACGTGTCAAAACATTCAATTCAGCAAGAAATTCTTTGCTAGCTTCCATATCCATTTTCTTTATAGCCGCTTTCTGCAAATAAGTTACCGAGACAAAATCTCAAAATTATGTTACTGAAACCTGATGATAAAAAATCCTTCAACAGCCGATAGGTATACTTGGAACAGGGCTAAACATTAAAGGACAAACTTTGCAGTTTGTTTTTTCATAAAAAAATAAAAAAAATAAAAATTCAAACCTAACATTTAGTAATAGGTTTAAATCAGCAACTTGAGAAACTACTAACCTCGCCTCGGAGCTCGGCGTAGTAGACAGCACCGAACCCACCTTGACCAATCTTATTTGCAATGCTGAAGTCATCAGTTGCGTTTGCAAGTTCTTCATATGAGAACTCAACAGATTTGTCAACGCTAATGCCCGCAAGAGTAGCAGCAGAGTCTGGTGCTTTGAAGCTAGTGCCTGCAGTAGCTAGAAGTTAATAACGCAAATAAAAGATGACCATCAATGAGATAACATAATGCAATATAATGATTAAAAAAATCACCATCAGCTTGTTGCGACTGATCTTCAGGTACTGTAGAGAGCAATCGAATTTTCCGTGCATTCTTCCTCCTTTGTAATCCCATATATAAGCAACCTGAAAATAACAATAAAGCAGCTACTCCTGCAACTGATATCCCAGCTATAGCTCCAGCTGATAAACCTGAATTAGTATGAAAAGAAGGAGAAGGTGGAGAATAAAGCAACAATAATTTCAGGATTACATTCTTTAGGTAAACTCAATTCGCAATTTGGAAAGCATCAAACATAACATTAAAAGCCAGNAAAAAAAAGAAAGAAAAAAAAGAAAAAAGAAAGAAAGAAAAAAATTGATGAGCACACAATTTTATAAATTCCCATAGATTCAGTGCAGAATTTGGAGCTTTATAAAATAGTTATTATTTTCTACCTGTTGCTCAAAGTCAGAGGCACATAACTCCCATTCTGATCTGCAATAAATCGAAGCCCCGTCAAGCAACACAATATCCACAAAAAGAATCTAATTGAATACAACCTAGAGCATTAGGGAAGAAAAAATGGCAGATTTACATTTAGCAAATACAATTGGAAGATGATCACATTATTTATTCATTAGTCTTGACATTTTGCAGATAGTTCTTAGACATTCACCGACGCAGAACATATTGCAGAACATATTCCAGGAGAAACGAATAAAAACTGTGAATTGTTTCGATGAAAATGTTTTTTTCGCAATTTGACATATTGGAGAGAACTAATTCATGTTCGAAAATTTATCAGAGGGAGAAAAAAGGGGTCAAAAATAGTAAACTATCCTTTCTATCTCACTCAAACCAGAGATTTAAGTATTCACCAAGCTGGCTAGATCATTTTATAATAGCAGAACAATAGAATAAAAGCATGCACTCATTTTTTATCCCAAATATCACACATTCCCTAAATATGTTTGAAGTATCCTATTCTTCAACATTCTATATTCCATTTGATATTTAAATAAGGATTGCACATGCACAAATCTGACATAAACATTTGTCAACAAAATAGAAAGCAAAACAAAATAATTATTCAAAGCACCAAAATTCCAACAACAAAAGAGCACTCACCTCTGCCCGGAATATACACCAACCCTCTGCCGGCACTGAAATTGGCCGTCGGATTATACCTGCGCACCAAATCGGCACTCAAATTACTCGCACTAGCCACCGTCTCCAAGCTCTCCCCTGCCCTCAACGGATAAGTCACGAACAGCCCGTAATCGAGCGACACGTCCCGATTCCCGCAGCTGCAGTTCACCGTCACGTTTAGCAGGACCCCCGTGTCCGGGATGTTCCAGGCCTGGTAGCTGTTGAACCTCTGCAGCTCATCGGCGGTGGTCAGGTTCGAGTAGGAGGTCTCGGCGATGGTGTTGTAGGTGACGTTCGGCCTGGTCGTGAAGGTGAAGACGTGGCCGAGGAACGGGGCGGCGTTGCCGAGGGTAAGGCAGTCGCAGCGGAAGGGGATGTTGACGCGCGTGTCGGCCAGCACGCTGTCCTGGTTGGCGATCTGAGGGTTGAAGGCGCGGATCGTCTCGATTGGGGTTTGGGTCACCTGGGAGATTAATGTCAGGTCCGATCCGCGCCACACGTAGTAGGAGGCCAGCGCGAGATCGCAGCCGCGGCGGCAGCTCTGGCCTTCGGCGGCGGGGAGGGCTCCGGTAAGGAGCAAGCCGGCAAAGAGGATTCCGGCGAGGAGCTTCATCGATCATAATTATCTGGCAATATTTAGGATAAATGGGATTTTTGTATTTTAGCTGACAGCTTTGGACTGGTCCAGCTGAAAAAGTAAGACTTTTCGTATCATATGGACCATATTTTGTGATAATTTATTATTATTATTTTTTTTTATTACAGAAACTCCGGGGAGACACTGCTGATAATAAATAAACAAAAGGTATAATACTCAAAACACACGATTTTGGTTGAAATATCGAATTTTGGTTGAAATACCTGATGCAATAAGTTGTTTTTGCGTCTTTTTACGTCATTTTTTATGTTATTTCCATGCTACAATATCAAAAAGGATAAATTTATTAAAAAATGTTTTCTACTATATTAGTAATGTAATATTAATTCAAAGTATATGCTTTAAAATAAATTAAAGACAAATCATTACATGTTGATTGCTTATATCAAATGTAGTTATGAGTTTATAATTTAATAGTCATATTAAGATAGTTTAAATGTTTGTGAGGAAATAATACCTTAATGTTATTATTTGGGTTCAATATTTCTGACTTAAATGCTTATTTAATTGGTCAGCGTTTACGTTTAATAAGTCAATTTATTTAATTGGTCAACATTTAAACCAAAATTCAAACTTATGACCAAGTACTTGTTCAACAAATTGAACAATATTTCTGGAGTATTATGTTTCAAATATCCACAATTGTGTAAATTTCTGTCGTGTTACTCGGTATGGTTCAAATTATAGTCCAGACCAGCTCCATACTTCCAGGCATTGAGCTTTTGCTTCCATATATACTTCGTCTTGTCTGGAAAACTGCTCAATAATGGTCTGCAAAAACTCGAAACTCAGTCCCCGTTAAACAATAAAAAGGATCGAAGATGCATTTTTACTCCTTTGGTTTTAACGCCATAGCAATTTTAGTCTGAAAGTTTCAACTTTTCGATTTCTGATCCCGTGATTTAATATTTTGTTGCAATTTCAGTACTTGATGACAGAAATTGCAAAAAAATTTAAAATTACAAGACTTAGATTTCTAATCGAAAATCTGAAAATTTGAGAATTTGTTTCCATTTAAGTTTCAAAGTACTGAAATTGCAGCAAAAAATTAAATCATAGGACCAAAATGGGAAATGTTGGAAACTTTGGAGTAAAATTGTTATTGGCGTTAACCAGTAGTCCAGTATGACTGAAAATGCAATTTTGCCTAAAAAAATGTTCTGTTTTTACGAACATGTTATGAGCATTGTTACCTAATTAGGGGATCGATGTACGAGGAAAGGAACGTGTAGTAACCCAACATCAAAAAATGTCCCGACCAGTCGACCAGCACCGGGAGACCAACCTGTGGTTATTTAAGAACAATTATAGAATCACAATTCATGTGTAGCTTCTGAAACTTGAGGGTGTGTAAGCAAATCGAGTGGACTCGAACGTGATATATTCAAGTTAAGCTTGGTTTTCGAGGTTAAGCTTGTTAACCGAGTAAGCAAATCGAGTGGACTCGAACGTGATATCAAGTTAAGCTTGTTTTTCGAGGTTAAGATAATGAACTTTAACCGAATTGAAACCGAATTTGAGTATCTTTTTCACAAGTCGTAAATGTTTTTACTTTGCCAATTGAGTCAATGTCGAATCAATCTTGTGCTTGACAAACGAGACACATATAAAATAAAATTATATGTACATAATCGAATGTGTAGAGTACAAAAATGCGTATAAACGTCAAGTACCTGCTTAAAGATTGATGGTATAATTAGCGGCCGAGTCACCATCACTAAGCCTAATGTCTTGACGAGTGGACCAAACTGAATCACATCCTGTAACAACATATCGAGACATAATAGATTTTTCGAAAAATTCTATAATCAGCTGAAAGATTGAATCAAGACAACATATTGATATATATAAATATATATGTGTGTATGTATAACCTGCAGAAATGGTCGAAGCACTGGATCCCCGAGTTTCTGGAGAAAAAAATTATGATTTTTTTGAGAAGCAAAGATCGACAAATTAGTTTTCTTACAAGAAAGAAACATTACAACAATGATAACAAGTACAAGAGACTTTAGGGAGAATGACAATCAAGGGCGGATCTATACTGCCTAGGCTCAATTTTTTGTGCTAACTACACATAGTTAATATGAGTTAATAAAAAAAATTATATTTAATATATGTAAAAATATAAATGCAAGGTTTTATTTTAAAATTTTAATTAATTCTTACAAAATAACATAATTGTTTTTATTAAAAATGATACACCTCACCAGTCGGATTCGACGATATTATATTAGAACATTTTTAGTACTTATGCCATATAATAAGCTTGATAGATAAATTTATTGTTTTTCAATTATAATTGATAAATATTTAATTTTTTATTGATAGAGACCAGTTAGATATAATTATTTTAATTACATATACAATATGAATGTCAAATTATACATTGTTAAAATTTAAGTTATCATATATAAAAAAATGATAATATATACAAATGTTACAACTTTTAAAATGTATTTACAATTTATGTTATCTAAGCGTTTAAACTTGAAAGTTCTGGATAAAGATCCATATTTATATGGACTATTTCGAATCCTTTGAAATTAACATATAGAAATACAAAACGTTGGAAATTGACAATGAAAAACTCTACATTTATATATATATATATATATATATATATATATATAAAGATAATCCATAAGGAAATTCTTATAAAATAACATGAACAAAAATAATGACATTTAGGTTTTTTTAAGTTGATAAATTATATTTCAAAATGGCTTGTTTATTTCCTATTACACAAAAAAATGAAGGAAAAATGATTGTACAATATATTGGTATATTTCTTAATATTAATAAAAACGCAAAATAAAATAACCAGACCTCATTCTCAATTTTATTTTTTAGCATCAAGTCAAAGGCAAACTGAATAAGAAACCCTCAACACCCAATTGTTCCAACGATTTATTTAATTGTTAATATAAGTACTTTGTGAAATATGGTTAAAAATTTCTTTGAACTATTTTTTGCCCTAGCTCATAAAAATTTCTGGATCCGCGGCTGATGACAATCACGAGTAATGTAAATAGAAAGGGAAAAAAATAAAATAAAATAAAATAAAATAATAATAGAAACCTGCATGCTTTCGAAATTGGCGTGTAGTAGCTCATTTATAAAAGTAGATGAAACATTGGACCCTCTTTTGGCGGACATGGCTCGTTGAAACAACCAGGATGCGCTTAAGTTGGGCTTTATGCACGTAAAAAATTTTAACCAACGTTAGTTAAAGAGCGGTTTTTACTTTTTAGCCACAAGGATTCACAGAGAAGGTATGGGGAAGAGAGTTGATTAATAATTACCATGTATGGGTTTAAAAGTGACAAGCTTCGGGCATCCAGATAATTACCGTTGACCGCTTCGTAAATTCCTTAAGCCTCGTAAAAAAAAGACAACTCGTTCAAAAATCAAAAACCTCTACATTCTAAAGACATTTGATTAATCAAATACAACAAAGGCAATGTAAGATTTGATATCATTTCTCTTGTTTTGTTTTTTAGTTCAAACGAATATACCAGCTGATAATCTTCCGAGATGCCTTGTCAAGCTCCCAAAGCCGCCGAAAGAAACTGGTGATTGTATGCCACTTGAATCCCCAAACTATAGACGTTATAATCAGTGGCAATTCATTGAACAATGAGAAAAATATATCGACATTCGTAAAAAAAGTCTGGTAAAAGTAAAACACCTGTAGAACACGATCAAAAGCTGCCGGCAGAGGGCTTAGAGCCAAGTTCAAAGGAGTTTACCAACAAAAGAAAGAAAGAAAAGGTCA